CGCGAGCGCCCGTGGGGCCTGGGCCCTGCCCGGGGACCCCCGGGAACCCACCGGGAACTGGGCTCCTTCCCCGCGCTCCCCCTTGGCGCGTTTTAGCGGGGCGCCTGGCAGGAGGTTAAGGAAATTCCTCCTGCGGATCAGCGGGGCTGAAAGATAGGGAAGGAGGGAGAAGCGCGTCCCGAGGCCCTGTGGTCTGAGAGTCCTGGAGAAGGAAGGGGGTGGTGAGGGCGAGGAGCAGCCACGAGAAGCAAATCAAGGGCGATAACGAAGCTTGGGAAGGAGCTTGTAGTGCTGAGTATCCAGGTGACACAATGGTGGAAGCACAGGGTAAATAAATGCAAAGTGATTCATACATGTAAAAGCAAACAAACAAAACCCACCACCACCTCTTTAACTGTAGATTCAATGGGTGTATGTGCGTGTTCATACACATATGTCATCATATAGGAAAGATCTTTGAGTAGATCTGAGAAAATGCTGTGGCTTAGTGACTGTCAAAAGACAAGTAAAAAGTTATGAATGAGCAAGGCAGCAGTAAAGAGCAAGACAAAAATCACCAATTCCCCAGTGACCGGGTTGTATATTCAGTGCTGCCTACGGCTCCATGTGCCTCCCCACAGAAAGTGCGTTTTGAAATCGGAAAAAGACTCTTAGAACTGGGGGAACAGGACAGTGTCAGGATGCAGGAGGATCCAGTAAACCAGGGCTTCCTTCACCTCGTCCACACTAACATGTGTGTTGTGTTTTTCAGAATGATAATAAAGAAGAAGGAAAAAGAACTTCATGAGGAAACTGCCCAGAAAAAGAAAAAGGTGAAAAGTAGTGGGAGACAAACAGTGGTTAAAATTGAGCAAGATGATCAGAGTGTCATTAAAACTGAGGATGACGACTGGTTTGAGACAAAGGTAAAAACGAACGGAAGTAGAATTTTAAAAGAGGATGAATGTTTAGACCAATTAAAATTGAAGAAGAAGAAAAACAAAAAAAAGAAAGCTTACTCCGAGTTACAGGAAGAAGCACATCCTGAAAGCTTGGTGAATGTAGAAAGACATCTGGATTTAGAACCACAAGAAGAATCAGAGGAACAAATTAAAATTGTCAAAAAGAAGAAAAAAAAAGACCAACGTCATTCTGTCTTGTCATTAGAGAATAATGAGCGTAGTGATGAAGCTGTTTCAAATCATCAGGCAGGTGGCACGCCGGAAAATGAATTTGCTTTCAAGAAAAGCAGAAAGAACATTGCTTTGAATTTGGAATGGGATGGCGAAGTAACTAAGAAAAAAAAGAAAGGCATTTTTTCCCTAGCATTAGAGGACTACCAGGACAATGAACAAAAACAATCAAAAAAAGATCTTAAAAAACACAAAAACATGTCACAAGAAATAGATGCTACCGGCAAAAACAGTGGAACAGATAATGCCCAGAATGATGAGGAGAGTTATGCGAGGAGAAAGAAGAAAAAGAAGAAAAAAGATAAGCCAGTCTCCTCTTTACCAGTGGCCTGTCATCAGGACAACATCCATGGAGTTCATGATAGCCACACTGCAATAAACGATTTCAAAAAAAGGAAAAGAAAGAATTCCCAGGAGTTTACATTCACGAACAAAGAAGAAGAGGATAACACTGAAAGCCCTGAAAGCTTTAGAGAGACAACGAAGAAGAAGAAGAAGAAAAGCAAAGATGTTTCCTCTTCAATACCTGAAGATAATCAGGACTACGGTGCTAGAGTTCCTCATGAGCATCTTCCTGCACAGCAAGAAGTTGAGTCTGGAGAAGAGGAACTTTCTGGAAAAAAGTGCAGGAAGAATATCAAGGACAATAATGATGAAACCAAAAGGAAAAAGAAAAAGAAGATTCAGAAAGAAGAGGAGGAAACAACCGATTTGCTATTTGTTGATGACAATGCGTCTAAAAGAGAAAAAATAATCCTACCAGAAAGCAATGAAAAGAACAAGGACAGTGAAGCCAAACTAGCTAAGTGCGTTACAGGGGATGCCGCAGAGAGAGCTCTGTGTAATTACAATCCTTTGCTCTCTGACAAAAATGCTAAAAAAAGAAAAAAAGTGCAACAGGATTCTGCTCAAGAACCAGGTTCAAAACCAAATACAAAAAAGAAAAAGATGAAAAGAGAAAACCCGGAAAATGAGGCCTTGGTAAGTAGAAAAAAGAGGTTAACGATGCACCCTCCTGAAAGAATTAAAAATATTTAGGTAGACGGCTTCCTATTTTGTGAATGTTCTGCCTGCTCAGACCTGTAGGTTGTGTTGAGGTTAGCAGAGTGGTGAGGTCTCCTTGGCTCTGAGAAACAGCCTGCAGGATCAGTCTGCTGATTTCGGCGTACAGCAATGGTGAAAGACAGAACAGTGCTTTTTAATGCCTACTGCTACGCACATCTAGTGTTTCAATTGCAAAAAAACAGAATGCATACATGGTGTGTTGTAACTACTGTCAGGAATTGGCACAAAACCAAAACTGGTATCTATGTTCATAAATCCTTTCCTGTTTCCCCTACAGTTGCTTTTATCAAAGTGAGTGGCAATGCTCGTATAGGGCAGGATTTTAATACCACGTCACCTACTCCGAGCAGCTCACAGAGCATTGGCATCATAAGTCTGTCTAACTGTGTGTGGCACACTCTTCTCCTCGAGATTTTGCTGATGCTGGAGCTGCATAGTATTAGAAACAAGGCAAATTTAGTAATATCCTAAGCAGAATAAGCCTAAAACATTGATGTATAAATTCTGATAGAAAAATATTATGGAACACCCTAAGTGAAAAATCAAAGGTATTTTTTTTAAAGAAAGAAAAAATGTATGCAAGGCAAAAATAAATTTATTTGAGAGTGGTGTGAGCTAAAGTTCAAAGTAACTGGAACTACATGCAGACTGATTGACTGTTACAGAAAATACCATGCAAGTGTCTTAGAGTGTTGACATTTCTGTGCTGAAATATGCATAGAGAGGAATTGGTTTGATAACAAGGAAAACAGTAATGCTTGATTGAGGTTTTCTTTAAAAAAAAAAAAAAAAAAAGGGAAACATACGGGTTTCTTCTTTCCAATTTTTGGAAAATTAGACTATTAAGACGTGTTTGCTTGTTTGTTTTAAACTTAACTCTTCCCTATTCTCTGGTAGTCTTTAGTATCACGTTTTAAGTGCCTGAAGTTAGCACCAGCCTAGCCTGTGTTGATGTCATTGGAAATTAAGCTGTGAGACACAGAAATTCATTGGGCATCTATTCTGGCTTCAGGTGCTTCAACAGCTTTCAGAAAGCAAGCTGGTTGCAAGTCATTAGGAGCCTTTATTTGCACAGGTGATTAGAAACTGAGTTCCAACCAGCCTTGATAGAGAGTGGTGAATGCTTTGTGTGTTGTAATAGGCATGAGATAATAAATAAGCCATCACTGAAGATTTTGGTAAGATGGGAGCAGTGGAACTTGCTGCCACATTAAATTTTGTACCTGCTAGCTCTTAGTTCCACAGTGTAAAGAGGTAAAACCTTGATCCTTTCTGGAAAAGGTGCTAGTGTGTAGGTTAGCAGCTGATTTACTGGGTACGTGGAGAGTGTAAAAAATCCTGTCTTCTTCCCCCCACAAATCGTTGCCTTAGACTCCAGTTGAAGGCTGGGTTCACTGGATGCGGTTTAACATTTAAATCACTTCAGTGTCTTTGAAATGTTTGCTAAGTCTGTTAGCAAAGCAGAGCACATACTATGAAGTGCTATGCACTCACTCATGTGGTTTCTTCATGTTCTCTAGAAATGCGTAAACTTTCTGGGGTCCTGTACTAATAATTAAATACAGATTTCAGTATATAAACAGGTTCTTCAGCTTTCTTGGAGACATAGAAATGGGCTTTTTACAAAGGTTTGTGCATGCTTATCATTAGCTAAGCAGATGCTTCTTTACTAAGATTTTTCATTTCCACCTTTTAAAGAACAAGGTGGTTTCACTGCTGGAGTATAATTTCTAATTATATTGACATCGCCTTGTTGGGCCTGTTGGACATTATTTGGATTCTTGCAGCTGCTCCCATGTGTGTGGAGGCAAGATAAGCCTCAGAACGACAAGTACAATTGCACGATAGTGGCGACCAATTATGATGGGAAGCAGCAAGTGCCTTGCAAACAGCTGAGAAGGGGGTAGGGTGATTTGTTTCTCTTCATATTCAGCCTCATACATAAATAATAAAAACTACTTCAGAGAAATTCTCAAGATTTAAAGCCTGGGTAATCGTTTCTGAAGAAAGCTAGTTCTTGCTAAGCCAAATGACATTACTAGAATAAATTGCTGATAATGTCAGTCTTGCATTTATTTGTGTCACAGACCTGACACATTTTCCAGGCTACAGTGCGTTATAAGTATTGCTGTTTTCCTTGAAAAATCCTCTCCTGGGTTTCTGCAGCAGGCAAAGTGGTGAGTTTCTATAGACAACGTGGAGTGATGCTCACTCAGTAGTGATTCACATTTGCCCCGTTGAATGTTGTAACTCATAAGAGTAAGGGGGAGGTTGAAACAATCTGGGGGTAGCAAAAAGATAGCTACTAAAAGCAAGCAAAATATGGCCTTTAAGCTTGTTTTATGGTGGTATATAGAATTGGTGGGAACTGATTGCACTGACGGTAAATGTTAGGTGTGAAAAGTAATCTTACTGTAGTCACTATGTAGTCAGCCTTGATTTGTAGGTCGTTTGTTAAGATGTGAAAATACAGCTGACAGTGACAGAACGGTTTCCTAATAATTAGTTGAGCTGTTGCTAGTAGCTTTCTCTCATTTTGGTGGTCCCACTGTGCTGCCTTTAGCGCACGCCAGCACCTGTGCAGGCTGCTGCTCACTTCTCTGTTGCGTGTGTGCAGGTAGCATAACCCTGCAGCGTGCTCGTGTCCTCCCTGAAGTGCAGGGGAGGGTGAGGGAGGCTCACCCCCAGGGAGGCTTCATCCTGCTAATTCTTGGCGTTCAGTAATCCTCAGTAGGCCAAAAACAGGCCGAGAATTAGCAATTAGATGGGGGTGCACACGTCCTCTCTGCTGGTCTACCACCTTCCCTGTGAGCTAAATAAAAAAACAAACAAAAAAAAGCCATTCTTGCAGCTGTTCACAAAATCCTGTCACCACAGTTTTCCACTTGTTTTAAGAGATCTGAATAGACAGTACCAGGTCATCTAGAAGTAAACTGGGTATTTCTTTTTCCGGTTAAGAGAATGAGCTCTCCTTATTGTAGACAAATATTTTTCTCCTAATCTTTGATGGCAGATGTACTTGTGTAGATATAAAATCAATGAACACAAGGTAGATTTGGAAAATATGTTAAATCATTAATGACTTTCCTTAAAGAAACCTGTAAGCCATTGAAAAAATAAAAGCAGCTTGTGCTGATAGAAGTATGTAACAAATCTCTTCCTTGTCCCAGTGTTCCTGGCCTATCTCATGCTCGGGTTACTGTGCTAGCTGCATCAATAGATCTTCCTTTTGGCCACCGTTTCCAGGCTGTTTGAAAGCTTATGGCTGTATAATTTATCACTGTCCTGGACTTGCTAGGTATCCTGTTATACCAGATGCCCCAAAACCTTATCCTTATTACAGATTTGGAAGAGAAGGGTTGAGGGCAATGAGCTAGGGACCAGCCAGGGGAGCGAAAGGTGCCGTGCTGCGTTTCATGGAAGTTGTTAGCAACTGGCTCCTCTCTGACTCGGCCACTGATTCACTGCCCACCACCCCCCTTCCACTCCTGCCCTACCTGCTCCGCTTCCAACATCATCTTCCCGCTCCTCCGCTCGAGCGGGGCTCGCGCTGCTTGCTGCTGTTGCAGGGGACGCTGCATGTGTCACAGCTCTCCCCTTACTCCTTATCTTTGCAGACTGGAAGCTGCTTGGGCACCATCTCCTGCTCTGCAGCGCTGCAGTCCGGAGCAGTGCAGCTGCCTTCGCTTGTTCTGCTTGGGCTGGAAGGGGCCAGCAGGACCCACGTACTTCATCAAGCTTGTTCAGAGCATTCAGAGGAGCCGTGACCTTATCATAGATTTTATTTTTTACTTCACTCCCTTTGCTGCTCATTTTTCATGTAAACTCAGCTTTTACAAAACTGTTTAATTTCAAATGACCTTGCTTGCAGAGTTGATTCTGGTCATGCTGGCAGCTCCTTTTTAGCATATAAATTTAAAAAGTCCCTTAGGCTTTTTGTATCAGAAGAAGATGACACTTCCCTAGATTTCTGTTGTGCAAACCTTCAGTGGATCTCTCCCTCTCGGAGCAAAAAATCTCTGCAAAGAAATGCACATGTTCAGTTTGCATTTCCAGTTTTGATTTGACTGTTTCTTCTTGCCTCAAAGTACTACATGATGTTGCTCAGTGTTTTGTGCTTGGGGACCTACCTATGTCTGACAGAATGGCTCATAATATTTATCTAAGTTTTTCCTGTTTTACAGGAACATATGGATGATGTAACTATTGTGCAGGAAAAAAAAGGAAACTGTGATGAAATTAATATAGACAAGGTATGCTTTGACTCAATTATGTAAAATTCAGTATCTAAGCAATTCGGTATCTAAAGCATGCATAGAGTTTGTAACAAAAAAAGAAGTTCTACTCTTTTGTTTGTCTGTGCCAAAATTGTACTGGGGAGAGCTCTCCTTTAAGGGTACTGGATCTTCCAGGGGCTAAGTTTGAAATGCCATCACCAGTGAATGCCTGAAGGCTGGGAGTGGCTGGTTATGTTAAATACACCTTTGTCTGCCTCTCCTCACTGCTGGCTATTTTAGTGTATCTGTGACCTGCAGTTAGAGGATTAAACATATTTGTTATGGCAAAATTTTTACAACTACTAAAAACATAGTTCTGAAGTTGTAAAAGGATAAAATGCAACTTTCTAATTGCCCTTCTAAAATACAGGAGATATCTAATCATCTTATTTATCCCTCATGTTTTCACTGTGAATTATCTGTTAATTAATGTACAGAAAACAAGCCCTTTTGCTGTTTTCTTCCTGCATGCTAGGTGAGACGGCAAGCTCTGCAAGAAGAAATCGATAGAGAATCTGGCAAAACGAAGGTTTTCAGTACCAAAGTGGAACCGGTATGTATAAATGGAGACCTTGATCTGATAAAAACATTGCGGCCAGAGCTACTTCCTGAAGATGCACTGTACTCCTTTTTGTATGCGGCTCACGTACGTGGCTTGGCACATCAGTCCTCCTTTTGACTGTAAATTTAAGGTCATGCTATAGAACAAATTAGTTGAATCTCAGGAGAGTCTGGGAGCAGACCAGTGAACTACAACCGTGGTTGGAATTGTGCAGAGCTCTAAATCCCATCATCAGTCCTGAAAAGCATTGTTTTCTCGGGCTGCTCTGGAGAATTAGACAAGATGAATTGCTACAAAAGCATTTTCTGTTTATAGTGAAATACAAATAATGCCATGCCATGGATAGAGCTGTCATTAAATTTTCTCTTTATTGTTATCTGAAGGAATCTGCAGACATTAAGCAGGGGGGATGCATCTGGAAATGTGGAAAGGATGACACCTCGTAATGCCTGCATGTTCCCTGCAGTCAAGCACATCTCCCCTCCACCTCTTTGAAAGATGCTGCTTTGTTCTGTTCTTCTTTCTCATACTCAGCCTGGGTGCTGACAGGTCTACAGTAACCTGTCAGTAACTGATGCAGTAGCCTTTAGCAGAGTAAGGAGATTCAGGAGTACAGAGAGCTCTACAAATAATTCAGGATTCTCAGTTGTCTGCAACACTATTCCCTGACAGTTTGCCTAGAAAGCAGGAACCACCTCAGACAATTGCCAGAAATAACTCATGTAAATGTGTGTAGTGGGAGGCAGACTGTGCGAGAGCTCTAGAACTGCAGCCTCCAAACCAGCTCCGAAGTCATTGAGAAAAATGACATCTTCGGCAGGGAATCCCAGTTCTTTGATGCAGAACTGTTCCTGGTTAGTGGTGCCCTGAAGTATAGAAACTATGAAAACTAATTCATGAGCATTACAAAGAGTAAGCTGGAACTGCTGAAGTAAAAGCACAGGGTAGTGAAAGCAGTTCCCTTAAAAATTAATAAAGAAAGAAGTGGGGGGGAGGGTGAAAGCTGCAGTTGTTTCTGCACATGTGCTGGTATCTGTCTCCCATTCCAAAGGGAGGACAGATGGGTATGTATGCATTTACTTAGTCTCTGTAAGGTAAAAATAACTAAATTATTACAGAAGACTTTCTTTTAATAGCAAGTATGTTAGTCTGTGCTATTGAAGGATAGACTAACCCTGCATTTTTCTAAGAAAACCTGCTCCAGCTTGCCTCCAGTACTGAGGAGCATCCTGTGTGCCAGGGTGGCTGTCCAGGGGGGAATGGCTGTTTCCTGCAACTACAACTGTTCAGTTGGAAGGATCTCAGGCTCATTTGAACATGGCATTAAATTCACTTTTGTTCCTTTGATGTAGTCAGTTCAGTCTAATTAATGATCAAACATTCTTCCATTAATGTGATCCCCAATTTTAAAGAAAAATAGAGGAGAAGCACTCCTGCCAAAAAGAGTTAGAAATGATTATCCCTCTCCTAGCCTAGTAGTCAGATAAGATCTTTAGCTAATGAAGCTTGTTATTAGGTAAGCCAAAAGTTCATAAACTTCCCAAATCATGATATAGTCTGGATTATCCACAAATGGTTGAATTATTAGTTCACTGGAGATATTACATGTATTCTCAGAGAGAAGCCATTATATGCAGCTAAAATAAATCCTGAAGGAGTCCGAGAATCCAGTCAAGAGCAGAGATAATGAATGGCAAACTGCGAGGGACTGGCAGGGTTAAGAGTATTGTGTTTAATCCTGTTAGTTAGGGATGTGTCCTCAGTTTTGCAGCTTTGTAATATATTTGGTAACTGGGGGGGAAAGGTAATGGAATGCTGTCTCCAAAACCAGTATGGCTGAAGACAAGAACTGCCTAACTAGACAATAGGAAAATGAAAAGATACCTTAAGAAGTGACAGAGTAAGAGAGAAAGATGATTAAGTCTGAAAATTCTCTTGGAGTGAGAGGAATGATTGGGCAAAATATTGAGCTAAATATTAACCAGGGAGCAGAAGTCATATTTCTAGAGAGGGAGGGGAGATTCTGAAACTGCCATATACCCTGTCTGTAGGCTAACAACTGAAATGCTAATGCAGATGCACTCGTGCAGGGTTGTGTCCTCCCTTCATCACATACCCCAGTAAGGACTGCAAGTTGAGTGACGCTGTCCTAGCTCTGCGAGACCTGCATAAGGTTTGGAAGCTGGTTCTCTTCTCAGGCTACAGCGCCAGACATTGAGCTTCTTCACCTGGGTAGTTTTTAATTTTAGTGTTAATTTTGTTTTGTTTCACAGGATACAAAGTTTGGCCAGTGGAGTACAGCTGCTTTTCAAAGTCCTGACCGAGGAATGAAATTTCTTAGACTGATGGGGGGTTTTAAAAAGGGCTCTGTGCCCACCCAAGGTCTCACAGCGACTGCAAACAAACCAAACATGGCTCTGAACAGGGAAGGGGAGGAGAAGTTGCAGCAGGCCCTGAAAGTGGAATTTGATAAAGCAATGGACTTGAAGCAACACAGAAGAATTGGTCTTGGATTCCAACCTGCTGCCAACAAAAAAGTGTACATAGACAAATACACATCTAGATCTATAAAATTTCAAGATTAAGCTCTTAAATAATATAAAATTAAAATTCATCATGCAAAACTTTTCCTTTTTACTTGAAATAAAGTACAAGATGTTTTAAAAATATGATTTATGAAGTAATTGTGCAAGTTTCCAACTGGATACTACAGTGTCTGTGGAGCTGGATCTTCACTTGAGCTGAGCAGGAAGTTTTTGAAACCTTTATGCTACTTTTTTACAAGGTGAGTGACAACCTTCAAAAAAGACACATGGGCAAAGCCTGCAACAAGCTGCAGCTTGGTATTCTTTTTTAAATGATGCTATTTAATAATTAGTTACACTCATGATTCAAAGGGAATTTAGTATTCCGTAAAATCTTCACATTTCTGCACTCAGCAAGTGGTGCAAAGTGATGACTTCTTCCTTTGAAGCACTGCTACTGATACGCCTACATGTTGGAGGATTTTTAATCCGAGAATGGATTCTTAAATTAGCATATTTGTTACAATAAAATACCACTAAGCAAGTAACAATAAGTAAAAGCCCTCCGCATGGTTCTTTATCACAGGCTAGAAATAAGAGTGAAATGTATTAAAGAGTACAAGAGTAACTGAATTCCAGAATGATCAAGTGAAATGATTGTATGCACAAAGAATTCCCCAACACACAGAGGGACTGCACATTGACTTTTTATTCAGTGATACAGTGTACTTTGAATATGTTCCTATTTTCCTTTGAAGTAGCATTTAAGGATTCTCTCCGTTTTACAATATGCCATTGAACTAAAGTGAAAACATAAACATGTCTGTGAAAATGTACTGCAGAAATTAGAAGAGCAATGCCTCAGTCATTTCTCTCTTGCTGGAAGTGACCATACAAATGCTGGCAGCAGCCCAAGTAGAAGGATGACTTACTAGGATTGTGACATTGATTCTCATTTTTATGGAGAAGAAAGACTATTCTACAAGTGAGATGAATTCTGGAGACAGTGAATTTACCTGTGCATGTTATCTTCTTGCTAAAATGACATAAGATTAGATGTGCAGCTTTTGCCACCAGAGAAGTCCAAAATGCCTTTAACTGAATCTAGGCTAGCATTTAAATAAAAATGAAATGGCAAAACTGGAAACAAATACAGGTCAAATTCAGGTTATTGCACTCTCAGAACAGTTTTAACCTTTGTCCAAGTAAAACTGTCTCACTGTAAGTAGAACGAAAATACACTGAGCTCCAGTCAAAAAACTGGAAGAGTCAGTGATTTAGGGCCTTGGCTACGTGCCCTCTGGACAGATACCTCCTTGGAAAAGAAGCGTTCATCAGGTCCTGGACTGCAGGGGAAGTCGAAGGGCCAAGTCTGTGAAGTGACTCATTTCAGGCTGTTTGCTTCGGCTCTTGATATATTCTAGTGTTTTTACCTGGGTATAAAAGGAAGACAGTCTGAGAGTCTTAGTCTTTGTCTTTTCTCATTTCAGAATCCATCATTTATGCCGTGTATAAAGGTGTTTCAATAAATACTCTCTTGATTTTCTTAAATTCCAGTAGATACATAATCCCTAGCATTTCTGACTCCAGAGCTGGCTACTATTGTACATCTACTTTAAACAAGGCTCTAACACATCTACTTTTCAAGCCCAGACTGTGTAAATCCTCCACTAAATAAAAAAGTGATATTTCTCTTAAAGCTTCTCTCTTCTAGGAAAAAAAAATGTAGGATCATTAGAGCTGTTCTTTGGTTTGTTGTTGTTGTTCTGTTTTTTTGACAAGAGCTACTTGCAGACCAGGTAAAGTTCCATCTCATTTTATTCAATGCTTAGCATGCAAAAGGCCACCAACTATTTTTATTCTGAACAGACTCTGAAACAAAATTTGCCAGTTAACATTTTCTCTCCTCCTTCATGAAAATGCCATTGTAATTTACTGAAGTATCAGACTTTTCTATCCCTTTTGAAACTATATATATATATATGTGTGTGTGTGTGTGTGTGTATATTTTAAGTAAGCAATTTTTTAAGTGCGCAATTTCTAAAGGAATCAGGTTTGTTTAAATGAGGCAAGTGGCTTTCCCAAGTGGAAGGGTGGTGGGAGAGGTCTTAAGACTTCTCTGCACTATGTGTTTTCCTTACCATGGTCTTGGTATCAGCAAAGCCATGTTTCTGAGCAAGATTCCAGAGATTGACTGAAAGCTGGTTTAGTTTGTTGTTTCGTAGATCTCCATGGGCTACAATAGTATTAAAGAAATAGAGCGCTAGCTGGCTCTGTCGCTTCAGAGTCTATAAAGAAAAAGAAATACTCATATTATCATGCAGTCAGCCTAAAATACCTGGCATAATGTAAGAGTCGGGGAGCTCAGAGGAAAAAGCGCCAGAGGCAGAGAGCTTTTCTCTAATAAACACCTATCAATAATTGGAGCTACAAGGATATGAGCACAAGAAGTGATACTCGTCAGTCCACTTCTAAACTAACTTATGTTGCCGCAAGTTAAAATAATCCCTGTATCTCACTCTGTATCTCACATCACTTCAGCAGATAAGCAATTTTTTAAGTGCGCAATTTCTAAAGGAATCAGGTTTGTTTAAATGAGGCAAGTGGCTTTCCCAAGTGGAAGGGTGGTGGGAGAGGTCTTAAGACTTCTCTGCACTATGTGTTTTCCTTACCATGGTCTTGGTATCAGCAAAGCCATGTTTCTGAGCAAGATTCCAGAGATTGACTGAAAGCTGGTTTAGTTTGTTGTTTCGTAGATCTCCATGGGCTACAATAGTATTAAAGAAATAGAGCGCTAGCTGGCTCTGTCGCTTCAGAGTCTATAAAGAAAAAGAAATACTCATATTATCATGCAGTCAGCCTAAAATACCTGGCATAATGTAAGAGTCGGGGAGCTCAGAGGAAAAAGCGCCAGAGGCAGAGAGCTTTTCTCTGATAAACACCTATCAATAATTGGAGCTACAAGGATATGAGCACAAGTGATACTCGTCAGTCCACTTCTGAACTAACTTAAGTTGCCACAAGTTAAAATAATCCCTGACTCTGTATCTCACATCACTTCAGCAGAACATACTACTATTCAGTTTCTAAAACAGACAAACAAGCCACCCTCATGACTCCTTACTTTTGCCTAGAAATCAGTCTTTCACCAAGCACCTTGCACTCACCTCAGATCAGCGTGGCTTTCCATTTCCCATTACCATGATCGTTAAGTCTAGTTGAATACAAGTCCAGCAGTCATACAAATTAATTATTTCTATTTTTATTTCCAATTACAGGTTTTTGTTCCTATTCTTTCACTAAGACCTGAGTGACACCAACATACCCACACCACATTTGCAGTTACCCTCCCCAAAACCGCTGAGGAAAGACCTTGGGAGACCCCCCGCTTTGTGGCCCTCCCCGCCAGCCTCCAGGAGCAGTTCTGGGGCTTACACCACCCCGTGCTGAACTCCAGGGCTGCTACCACCCAGCTCTGATGCGAGTGGAAACCAGAAGCAATCAGGATACTACTCCAGATCCACAAAGAGGGTAGTTCTAGTGCCTCTTTCTGGCCATTCCTACTAAATAAGCTTAGAAAGGCTAGAGGCACAAATCACTATTAGCTGCATCTGAGACACACTAACTGTTACAGTGCCTGGCTGCAGCTGTGCTTTGTTTTGCTCAAGAAAGATTGATGTGGAGAGCAGAGCTCCATCCTACCCTGAAGCAGCAGCAGAGTCCTTAGAGCAGAGCTGGCAGCTCATCTCCCTCACAGAGGAATATAACACTTCAGCCCTCTAAGTTCAACGCCTGCTCGCCGTAGCCAATATACAGCACTCAGGTAGGGGGTTAAGGAGAGCGAGAAGGTGGCAGGGCTGGGAGACGCACCGAGCTCTCCCGACACGGTACTGATGCAGTCACAGCCTCTGCCCTTTCCCTATGGGATGGGAAGTAAATTAGCTCCACTTCCCACTGCCAGGAGAGGAGAGGCCAGATGCTATTAATCAAAGAAATAGCACAAGCCACACCGTCAGTCCTCCAAATAAATACATGGCAAGAGAAAGAGCTGTCATTAAGGAGCTGGCGAGCCAGAGAAGAGGACGAGGCAAGGCCACATCACAGGGGCCAGTTCGTGCATGCAGAACTGACGCACACAAACACGGTGTCCAGGGGTGCAGAGGGCCCCAAGAAAAGTTCACGAAGCACTAATTCACTACATGGGACTTCCAAGATGAAAGTTCTTCCTGCAAGAGCTAGATATTCCAGCAAGTTTCATCCAGTGGCACCAACACCTGTTCACAGGCTGAAACTACAACCATTATTTTACCCATTTGAATGGTAATCCAGGGTTGAATTGTATTCACTACCAGATAGGGAAATACAGCCAAGCCCAGCAATGATAACATGAAGAGCAGAAATGCTTCCCAAAGACAAACAATGGAAAGAGTAGTTGTCGATGCTTAATATTTCTCTTGTGGGACTAGCATTCTTAGGGGAAAAATGCACACAGTGCACAGCCTATTAGCCCCTGTTTTGTCATATTATTCACAAGGCACATAGTCCCCCCTCATGCCCCATCACCATGCAGCCTAGATTAGCAAAATGTCTTCTCCCTTCCAACCATCGAATGCCTGAAGTTGTTTGAAGGTTTGCCATAAGAAGTGGCAGAGCAGAGCAGAATGCAAAACCAGCAGTACACAGGAATCTGAGTCTCACCAGCAAGGTTTTCCAGGCAATATTTATGCAAATATAAAATCAATTTTTAAAAATACGGATGGTATTTCAACAGATTTGAACCATACGTACTTGAAAAAGGGCCATACTTCAAAGAAGACCTAGAAACACATTAAAGAGAACTGGAAGACTAGGATGCCATACGAACTCTCAGTGTTCTGGGGAAGATTTAACTGTCACAGACAGCACTGAGGTGCTGATCACAGAATGGCTAAGGTTGGAAGGGACCTTTGGAGATCATCTATCCAAGCCCCTGCTCAAGCAGGGCCACCTAGAGCACATTGCCCAGGATTGTCCAGATGGCTCCCGAGTACCTCTGAGGAAGGAGACTCCAGAACCTCCCTGGGCAACCATCTGTTACACAGTGCTAAGG